TTCCTCACTTTTTCATTCCCAGCGTAGTACATCATATCATTGTCTGATTCAAAGTGTCCAGTGTCAGCCTCTCAACTTGCTAATGCCAAAAATGTTGATCTTTATTCATCCCGTTTCATTTTTATAATGTTTAATTTTCCTAAATTCATATATTCTATAGGGGCTGTTTGCAACTGTTTCTTCTCAATTTAGATATAGCAGATTGGAAGATGATTTTCTTTGCTCTTCCCTAATGTAAATAATTCTGCCGGCTTGGGTTTAGGGCTGAGAGGAAAGATATTATCTTTCAGAATTTATTTTGGCATCTATCCTTCTAGTGTAATTTTTTTCCTGTGCCTGGTTAGAAGCTATAATCATAACTGGGTTGCTTTCGTTTCAACGAGTCGTAATTGGCAACCTTGTTAGTTTCAATATATAACAACCCACTGCCACTGAGTCTATTTCAGCTCATTGGGATCCTTCATTCAGTTTCTAAGGCAGTATTTTTTCAAAGCTGCTAGTGCATTTGAACCAATGGAGATGAGCAAACTTTTAATTGGCATGACATTAACTGTGTCACCTGAATGCCTATACTATGCCACTGGCATGCTACCTGAATGGTAACTGTATAGCTAGACATACTCAATTAAGGAATGTAAATGTAATTTAGTGAATATTCAACCTTTATGATAAGAAATGATCTACTGTACTCCAATAAGATGATAAGATTTAGGTGAGACTTGCTTTCTAATTTTTATTCTTACTGCCATATAAGTCAAATGATGTTGACTTTTACTCCTTTTGTCATATTATGCATTCCCAGAGTGTCAGCCATTTTGCTAACTGCTTGCAAAGATGAAGTCTTTCTCTTAAGACACTAATTCTATGATCTTACAATTAAGGACATTAGAAAATAGCATTTTAACATTCCATTATTCCTATGGCATAGATGTGAAATTTGCCCTATATATGTTTATTCAAATTGAACTGAAAAGGATATTTGCTGCCACAGGTAAGAGCAGAATCTCATGCTCAGTTATAATTTCAATATTATGGGAGATGTGTGAAACGCCTTTGGTCCCACCATCCCCAATAGCCATGGCAAATAACTCCACTTTTAGTTCTTTCTGCAAACCAGCAGCCACCTACAAGACACAAAGTTTGTTTAAAAAGCTTTTGTTTATTTGCTTTGGAGAAGCATGGCATAGTGTCAACAGTATTAATTTGTTCTACTTTTCAAAATCTATGATGATAACAACAATTCAAATCCTAGCATACCAGAGTTTTCTAATAGAGTTATTTCCCTTAGGGAGAATAGGCTCTCTTGAGATCTTTCCTTGCCAACAAAAGGCAAGTGACATAATGATACCAAACCAAATCCCTTGCTGTTGAGTCAGTTATGACTCATAGGGACCCCATAGAGTCCTAACAGAACTAGACTGCCACATCTAGGGAGTAATAAATAACTTTTTTTGGTTAGCAGCTGAGTATTTTGACATGATGATCAAACTCATTTCTGTCATAGCTGACGATCATGACTCATAGCTCCATTAGGATTCAGAATAGTCTGTACTCGCAGTGGATGAGTTTGTCCATCTTTCTACCCAGGATGAATTTGAATCTCCAAAGAGGCATAGCCTTTGGGTTACCAGTGTAACTTCCTATAGACTAGATCACCAGAGTTCCCTGATCTATCACATGATGATAGTGGTGGTGGTGCTATTTCCTTAAGCCAATTTTTTACCAGCAATGACATATTTAAGAGTAGCAGTGACAACAGAACTCTACCAATAACAACATAGAGAAGAAAATGTATTAAGGAGTCCTCCTAAGTACATAGAATCATTACAAGCTTTCAAATGACATATCCAACGTACAACCCATGAGAGCACTATATTGTGATGCTTCCTTTTCTCCACATTTTCTATGTAAGCTAGACTTGAATAATCTTCTCCACCTGGTCATGGAATACCATCTTCAATTTTAACTGAGCTAGAACTTAGGTCCTCTACCAGTCATAGTTCTTGAACCTCCCTAGGCCTTGCCTTTACATCTATCATTTACAGAATCAATCAACTTTTCAATCAAAAATATTCAGCATACAATCTCAGATTTTTCTATTATCTTCAGCCTCCTTTCCATCCAATTTATTAACAAGTCTTTCTGCTTCAACCTCCAAGATACATTTACTGTCTCCATTTCTATTGTAGTTCAAGTCACCACCTTCTTCCATCTGAATCTTTTCCAAAAAAGTCTTGTGTACAACCTGAGTGTTCTATGGAGGCAGAGATGACAAAGCTTTGCCTCACATACTTTGGGCACGTTGTGAGGCAAGGCTTTTGCTTCGAGAGGGACATCATGCTTGGAAATGTGGAGAGTCAGCAAAAGAGTAGGCCCTCTACCAGCTGGAATTACACAGTGACTGCTGCAATGAACTCAAGTATGTTAGAAATGATAAGAATAGGACACAGTTCAGATTTGTTGTTCATAAGATTGCTATGAGTCATACTGACCTTGACCATACCTACTATCCTTTATAATCCATTCTTTCCACACCAGGTATAGGAATTTTTCCCTTCATCTTGTTAGTACCTATTACAAACCCATACAATATTAGTAGAATTCACATGGAGATATACTGTTTTAGATCAACTCTACAGCAGCCAGATATTTATAACCAAGTGTTTGGGACATCCCACTATCAAGTTCTATCACAGACAAAGGACCAATTGTCTTAATGTTACCCAGCTTCTACCATTCAGAAAGGAGCCTGGCATATTGGTGCTAAAGAAGTAAACAAGTGAGGGAGCTCTGGTGGCCTAGTGGCAAGAAGCTGAGCTGTAATCCTGAAAGCATGTGGTTTGAAGACATGTAGTTAAAATCCACCAGATGCTCCACTGGAGAAGGAGGGGCAATTAGACAAACAAACAAACAATTCTTTTAAAAAAAGAAGTAAACAAGTGTTTGCTTTTATTGTTGCTTCAAAATAAAGAGAACAGGGGTAACAAGGTGACAGCATAGGTAGGCTTGCAAGAATAATTATTAGGTAGGAGTAAATAATTGGGTCTTGTAGCCAAGTACTTAACTTTCTTCTTCCTCTTCAGATTCACAACATTAATAAAACAATTATGAACAATTAGCTGTCAATTATTCCATTTTGCTTGGATTAACATTCAACACCCTTGGTACCAGCAGTAAGGAAATCAGAAGACTTTACATTGGGGCAAGTCTCCTGTCAGGGACTTCTCTAAAATATTAAGAGCAATACTAACAGTTTAAAGGCAAAGGTACACCTGAATCAGGCCATTATCTTCTCAATCACCTGCTATACAAAAAGAGCTAGAAAATCAATAAGGATGGCAGAAGAAGAACAGATGCCTTTGAGTACTGAAGAATAATACTGAGTATATTCCAAACTACTAAAACAGATATGTCTTAGGAAAAGTGCAGCCACAGTGGTCCTTGAAGGCAAAGATGATGAAGCTTACTTAGACTGTCATACTTTGGACATGTACCTAGGTAAGGCTATTCCTTGGAAAGAGACATCATGCTTGGAAAGGTAGAGAGGGTTTTGGTGAAAAAGACAAAAGACCCTCAACAAGGTGGATTGATACAGTGTGTAAAAAGAGTGTAAAAAAAGTGTAAAAAGGCCATATCTGACCTTTACCAACTTCACAAAGGGGAACGTCCCTTTCAACAGGATCAGTAACACAAAATCAATTCCCATGAGGTAAGACATGCTCACCCCCCATGCCGCTGCACCTCTTTCTACTCATCTCAACACCAATTGTTTACTGGGTCCATACAGAATCATATTGGGGAACTCAAAAGGGTAAAATTCAGATTAGTAACCAAATACAGTCATTCCATCAGGATAGCTTAGGGAATGTGTTTGCAAGCATCTCAGCTTTGAGCCCTACAGCTTTAGGCTAGTGTTCCAAAGTTCTCAGTACTGCAAATATTGGCTTCTCTTTTCTACCCACAAATTGTCCAACAAACTTGGGTAAAGGCTCTTAGCTTGGCTATGGTTCAGTCTATGGGGATTAGCAGGCCTAAGGTAGTTCCATCTGATGTTATTTGGCTCCATTCATTTAGCCATGGCTGCTGTTGCTGTAGGTGTAGCTGAAACAAGAATTTCTGGTCCCAGAGGACATGCTACATTCTTTTACCTCTTCTTTGCTAGTGGAAAAGATCTTCTACTGCTAGATCACTCATTTTAAAGGTGAGACTAGCCAATCCCCTCGTAGATTGGTGAGTTGGCCCATTCACTTGTGTATAGGTTAACATGCCCTAGTCACATATTTTCACCCGTCTACATGGCAGAGTCAATTTCAGTGGCTAGGAAGGTCATTTTCAATAATAAACTCCACTTAGTGACTGCACCAATAGGCTCAAATGTGTTAAAGATTATGAGAACGGCACAGGATAAAACAGGGCTCAAATATGTTGTTCATAGGTTCATAGGTCATTCTCAACTCTATGGCACTAAACAACAACAACAACAACATATTCCTTTATTTTTATGTAGAGTTAAAACTTGGTAGTTTATGAAATAGTGAAATGTGGCATAGATCCCTGTAAAAAAGAAACTAAGCATACCTTATGTAGATATCTTATTTTGTAAGAATAATGTTTGAAGTTTTGGAAGCAGGAGTGGCATCCACTTCCTAAACAACATACCTTGGGAAACTCTATGAACTTGGATAAATGTCGATAGTTGTAGAGGGGCTTCAGGTCTTTTGTTCATAGGGTTGCTTTGAGTCGTGTTTGACTCAAAGGCAGTCATCATCATCATTAACAACAACAATAACAACAGTGTTTGAAGAAGCATATTTTGGGAACAGGCATGATAGATATAAAATATATACATCCCATATAAATAAATGCCACTCTTTTGGAACTCAACTATTGAACAAATATTTGAATGCTTACTAATTCAAATCAGTGGAAGTGAAGGAGTTAGGAATCCTGAGACAAGAAATTTTGACTTCATACTGCAATTGAGTGGCAATGTAATTGTGGACTGATAAAACATCCCAGATATTTTAAGGATTTACTTTATGGCGAGAGGAAAATAATATAGGTAAAAAATTAAAGCAATAGTGATAGAAATGCTCTTTATTGAAATAAGCTTATCTTTTACTTTTGCTCATCCTCTTTGCTTTAGTTTTTGATGAGTTAACATGTGTCAGGACTTGGAAAGGTAATGTGATATAAAAAGAAATAAGAAACAGTCTTTGTCACAATGGAATTAATTGACTAGTGGAAGAGAAAGGAATGGAAATGTATGTGTTTTAACAGTGCTTTCTGAAATAGCAGAAATTTTGAGGATAGTACAGAATCAGGCAGGGTTTCATTCTTTTGACTATAGGGTTGCTATGAGTCTGAGCTGATTTGAAAGTACCTTTGTTGTTGTTATGTGCCGTCGAGTCACTTGTGACTCATAGCAACCCTATGTACAACAGCCCTAAACTCTACTCTGTCCTATGCCAATCACACTGTCTCTGATACACCTACCCTGATTACCGCAGTCACTGAATCAATCCACCCTATAAAGGGCCTTCCTCTCCTGCTCTGTCCCTCCATGCTCCCAAGCATGATATCCCTCTCCAAGGACTGGTCTCTCCTTACAACATGTCCAAAGTATGTCAGCTGAAGCCTCAAAATCCTTGACTCCAAGGAGCAGCCTGCCTTCACCCACTCCAGAACAAATCTGTTCATTTTCTTAGCAGTCCATGATACACTCAATACACTTCTCCAGCACCACAGCTCAAAGGCATCAATTCTCCTTCTATTCTCCTTAGTCACTGTCCAACTCTGACGCATAACAAGTGATTGCAAAGACCTTAGCCTGTATCAGACGCACCTTAGAAGAAAATACTACGGTGGCATCTTGAACTTAAGAAATATTTCAAGAAGTGGTTTGAAGCACTGAACACCAATGATTGAAGACCAGAGAAACTGTGCAATGACATCAAGGACATCAACCATGAAAAGAGCAAAAGGTCCTCACATAGACAGAGGAAGACAGAGGAGAAAGAAAAAATAAAATGGATGTACAGAAAGACTATGAAAATTGTACTAGTGCTAATGTTGAGGTGGAAAAGGAAAGAAAGAGATGATGAAGTAAAAGAGGTGAACAGAA